TGCCCCCCGGCTCCTGGCAGTGAGGAGCAGGGTCCAGGTCCCCATCGCGAAACGCCGCCCGCGGCCGTCTGTCCTCGGAGGGGCCGAGGGACGGACACACAGACCTACGGGCAGCTGGGGAGCCGCTGGGCCAGAGGGATCTTCAGTTGCCCTCGGAGACGGCCAGGTCCCCCCCAGCCCTTTCCAGGGATGAGTCACCAGATGCCTCCCTTCTTCAGAAGACCAACAAGACAATGCTAAAGACATGAGCAGCTGCAAGAGGAGGGGGGACAGGGAGGGCAGGACGGCGAGGCCACGGCAGACACACAAAAGCCAGCTCCTCCGCAACGCTCTCCTCCCATCTCCGCCGACCGAAGCGTGGCGGTCCCTCTCCTCTTCTCCTTCCCCACCCCATCTCCTTCCCTCTCTCCGCCCCTGCCCTCACTCCAAGCACAGCTTCACCAGGTTGGCCTGGACCTTGGCTTGGTCCACGGCATCCAGGAGGTTCTTGGCGTCCACGGCCAGGGTGTGGGAGGCCGTCAGCATCTGCCGCTTGCACTCCTCGCTCAGCGAGGTGACGGCGTTCTGCTGTGCCAAGCGCATCTTGTTGATGAGGTCGGCCAAGTCCTTGTTGAGCAGCTTCTGGGTCCCCTCGATCTGACGACGACACGCAGGAGTTACAGACAGGGGTGGCACCAGCACCCGACCCCACACCGGACCCCCTCTCCCTCCTGCCAGGTCCTACCTCGGTGCGGGAGGCGGCGGGCAGGATGGGCAGGATCTCGTCAACGCTGCCGATCAGCTTCCGCAGGGAAAGTCCCACATTCTGCGGGGAGGGTGGCAGGGTTAGGGTGACTCCAGGCACGGGCACAGGGAAGCGGTACATGGGAATAGCTTGTGTCGCTGAGTCAAGGATCCCATCTGGGAGAGGAGCATGGTGGGACACCCACCCGAGGGCCCAGTGGAGGAGCAGGGAGTGCTGGAAATGCTGCTGCCATTGGCCCAAGGACCCAACGGAGGAGCAGGGCGTGTTGGAAACTCTCTCATCATTGATCCAAGGACTCAACGGGGGAGCAGGGAATGCTGGAAATGCTGCCACCATTGACCCGAGGACCCAATGGAGGAGCAGGGAGTGCTGGACATGCTGCCACCATTGACCCGAGGATCCAATGGAGGAGTAGGGAGGGCTGGAAACTTTCTCATTGTTGCCCCGAGGACCCAATGGAGGAGCAGGGAAGGCTGGAAATGCTGCCACCATTGACCCGAGGACCCAATGGAGGAGTAGGGAGTGCTGGAAACTTTCTCATTGTTGACCCGAGGACCCAATGGAGGAGCAGGGAGTGCTGGACATGCTGCCACCATTGACCCAAGGACCCAATGGAAGAGCAGGGCATGTTGGAAACTCATTGTTGACCCAATGACCCAATGGAGGAGCAGGGCATGCTGGAAACTCTCTCATCATTGACCCAAGGACCCAATGGAGGAGCAGGTCATGTTGGAAACTCTCCCATCACTGACTCAAGGATCCAAAGGAGCGGCTGGGAATGTTGCAAATGCTCCCTCCTACATGCGCGAGACCTTTCTGAGAAGGATGCTTGGTGGGAGTCGCTCAGTAGACTCATTCCCTACTCCCTCTCCCATTCCCGTGGTGTTGCCCCCTCCCTGCCCTCCCTACCTTCACCACGAGGATGTACCCCTCCGGGGGCAGGAGGCTGATCTCATTCTTCAGCTGCAGCACAGCCCGCACCAGGTCCATGACGTTGCTGTATACTGTATCATCTGTGCGGTCCAGGTTGGCGGTAGGGGCTGGGTGGATGGACTACCGGGGAACAGGGACATGAGGGGACAAGGAGAGAAAGACCAACAGCTATGGGGAGCCCTGGCCAGACCCATCCATCTCCCACCTGCAACCCCGATGCTGCTGGGTTTGTCTGACCCCTTTGGGGCCTGGGAGGGACAGAAAAGTCCCATCCTGCAGATGCAGAGGGATGATGGAGGTGGAGAAGGAGAATTGGGACCATGGTGGCCCCGTTCAGGGAGGTCTTACCTGTGCTCCAAGTCTTGGAGGCTTCTGGGGGGGCCCCGTGAACTCCGCTATGCCATCAGTAAGGGAAAGAAGAAGAGTCACTCTGGCTGTTCCCCTGGACACACTGGCAAGCTGCAAGACCCCAGGGACCTGTGCCACCTCCCACACCACCCTGGAGAAGCGTGTCTTACTGCAGTTGGACACCCTCACCCACCCCAGCTCTGCCACCTCCCCACAGGGTCAGACCCCCATGACCGGGACAGGCAGACCCCTTCCTCCTTGAGCAGGCAGAGCTGCTCCCCATCATTTGGGATTTCTTTCATGGAGGATCCCAAAGCCAGGAGGGTTATGGCCCCGTGGCTCCTGGAAGCTCAGCGCAGGGTTGCCCGCTTGCAGCCCCGAAATGGGTGCTGCTGGGTGGGGGGCCATGGGCAGCCCCACACCCTGTGCAGCTCTGGGCACTCACTGTAATCCGTCTCCTTCTCCGGGAGCAGCTGTGGAGGGAAGAAACAGCGAATGAGAGGCACAAAGTCCCGGCTGGAGGCAGCAAAGAGGGAGGAGGTATGGCCATCCCCTCCTGGGGCACCTGGTGGGGAGCTCCGGACCACCGGTATTTCACCCCATTAACATTTTCAGATGAATTTTCCCAATGTGAGGGGCACATATATAAATATTTATCACCCGTCCATAGGGTCAACCTGTTGTAGGTGACCCTGCTCTGGTGGGGGGGTTGGACTAGATGATCTCCAGAGGTCCCTTCCAACCCTGACCAGTCTGTGATTCTGTCACAGAATCGCCTAGGTTGGAAGGGACCTTTAAGATCATCAAGTCCAACCATTAACCCAAAGCCGCCAAAACCACCACTAACCCACGTCACTCAGCACCACATCTACACGTCTTTTAAACACCTCCAGGGATGGTGACTCCACCCCTGCCCTGGGCAGCCTGTGCCAGTGCTGGACAACCCTTTGGGTGAGGACATTTCTCCTCATCTCCACCCTAACCCTCCCCTGGTGCAACTTGAGGCCGTTCCCTCTCGTCCCATCGCCTGTTCCTGGGGAGCAGAGACCGCCCCCCCTCACTGCCCCCTCCTTTCAGGGCACTGTCGAGAGCGAGAAGGTCTCCCCTCAGCTCCTCTTCTCCAGGCTGAACACCCCCAGGTCCTTCAGCCACTCCTCAGGAGATGTGTACTCCAGACCACACCAAAGCAAATGAGGATCTCAGATACCCCCAGGAGAAGGAGCCCCTGTACCCAAACGCACCCCCAGCCCGGTCTCTCCAGGGCCAGCATCACTCACCGGAGGAATGTTGTTCATAAACACCGTCGGGTCCTACAAAGGGGGAGAAGCTTTGTGAGAGGCATGGAAAAAAAGGAAAAAGAAAGGAAAAAAAAAAAAAAGGGATTTTCCCGATTTCTGGGAGACTCGTGAAACACACCACAGGAACGCGTCTCTGCAGGGGCCGGGAATGTGGGAGGGGAAGGGGCTTCATGCCCATGGCTGGTCCCATCTCCATCTCAACCCATCCCATCACCCTTCCCTGCTCCCCGCCTGTTCCCGGGGTACCAGAAACCTCAAACTGCAGCTCCAAAAAAACGAAGCTTAATTCAAGCAGCTGTTTGCAGCCACTCGGCACCCAACGGCCCCGGGGGTGTGGAGAGCTGTGCTTTGCTTCACCGGCTGTGTGAGCCTATCAAATAAAAAATTGCCTGTCTCCTTCCAAACCTGTCTCACCGCAAACTGACTGTCACACATGGGACTCATAGAATGGTTTGGGTTGGAAGGGACCTTAAAGATCATCCAGTCCCACACCCCTTCCATGGGCAGGGAAACCTCCCACCAGCCCAGGTTGCCCAAGGCCACCTCCAGCCTGGCCTTGAACACGTCCAGGGATGGGGCAGCCACAGCTTCTCGGGGCAACCTGCCCCAGGGGATCACCACCCGCACAGCCAACAATTTCTTCCTCATATCTCATCCCAATCTCCCCTCTTCCAGTTTGAAGCCATTCGCTCTCGTCCCTCGGCTCCCCTCCCTGACCCAGAGTCCCTCCCCAGCTCTCCTGGAGCCCCTTTAGGCACTGGAAGGGGCTCTGAGCTCTCCCCTGTGTGGCCTTCTCTTCTCCAGGCGGAAGCCCCCCAACTCTCCCAGCCTGTCCTCCCAGCAGAGGGGCTCCCGCCCTCCCAGCATCTCCAGGGCCTCCTCTGGCCCCGCTCCACCAGGTCCATGTCTTTCCTTAGCTCTCTCCAGTCCTTATTTCAAAAGCATTATAAAAGCTCATTAAGACACGATTGCAAGCATTTAAAATTTGCCCAAGTTGCCAAACATTCATTTTGAAAGGAAGCAGCTCCGTGAGGTCTTTACGGGTGAGGAAAATAAAGGGGTGTGAGAGGTTTGGCTGTTGGAGGAAAAATGGCTTTTCCAGCCGGGAAGAGCGACCTCAACGGGCTGCTGTGGCTCTTCCACCACCTTCATGAGGCTGCAACAGCCGGAGACCACTCACCAAGGACTTCTCCTCCTGCCGCAGCCACTGGTAGTCCTCCACCATCTGCTTCTGCTGCTGCTCCAGGACCTGCCGCATCTTCAGCCTCTCCATTTCCCACAGCTTCTGCGCCTCCTCCCTGCTGCTGGGCCGGAGGAAATCTTCCTCCTGGTGTGCAGAGATGGTGGTGACCAGGGGGGAGCTCAGGAGCCGGAGTCCCCCCACCTTGATTTCGGCATGCCCTGCTCTGTGCATGCAAGCCATGCGCCGGACCCCAACAGCCACGACCCCCCCACACTGAATTTGGGGAGCACTTGGGTTTTCCAGCAGGGAGAGGAAACCACCGGCTGTCCCCACATCTCCCACCACCGCATCCCGGCACCGTGCACGGGCATGGACCACCCCGGGCAGCAGCTCATCCTGCTCACGGCGCAGCCGCGCTCGGCACCGCGGCTGTGCCGGCACACCGGGCAGAGCATCACAGCATGCACCCCAACACCCAGCTCTGATTTCGGGGCTGGAATAACCCGGCTCTGGCTGCAAACCACCCCCGGCATTTCCGGTGACAACGCCGAGTGTGAGGAACCGAGCCAAAAGCCCTGAAGAATGGCAGTCGTCCGTCCCCTGCCCGTTTTTGGGGACGCCGTGCCAATCCCTCATCCACCACCATGCCTTCACCGGGATGTGCGTGCAAACAAGCGTAGCAGGGGGCTGGAGACACCCCGGAGCCCTTCACGGGCTTGATCCCTCCAACCCGCAAGGGGGTGACAGGATTTGGCTCTCCTGCAGTGGGGTCGGGAGCAACACGGAGCTCGAAGCAGCGGAGACGACAGGGCAGAGCGGAGCGGCCGTGCGGCGAGCATCCCTCCTACCGCAGCCTGAGCCCTCCGGCGTGTCGCCACCCGGGAGCGGGATGTCCTCGGGATGTCTGTGGGATGCTCTTACCCTCATGCTGTGGCGCTTTAAGACGTTGTGGCGGTTGAGCGGTGGGGTGTGCAGGGAGTTGGCCGGAGACTGGTACTCGACGGGGCTGGTGAGCGTAGGCGAGCTGGCACACAGACCCTCCGGCACCTGCGGGTGGGCACGGGGAGGGGGCAGCGAGCAGCGGGGCGGTGCGGGCACAAAACAATGCCACCGGGGGTTAGTGCGGACAGACAGACGGACGGACGGAGCAGGCAACGCCGGGGGAGAGCAGCTTTCGCACCAGGAACAGCCTCTGCCCCCATCCGTGCGGCGGGATCGGGACTTTCCTCCCTGCTCGGCTCTTCCTCACCCGCAGTGAGGGCGTGAGACTTCCCACACTGTTGTTTGAACCCCCGTCCAGCCCCAATAGAGCATCCCAAATATTGCTCTTGAGGTTTTCAGCTTGATGCTGTGGGGACCAGCACTGGTCCTTGGGGTGGGGGGGGGAGGACACACCTGTGCTGCCATAGGGTGGCCAAACTCAGCCCAGGTAAATCCACAGAATCCCAGAATCCCAGAGCGGTGAGGGTTGGAGGGGACCTCTGGAGCTCCCCCATCCCACCCCCCGCCAGAGCAGGGGCACCTCCAGCAGTGGCACAGGACGGTGTCCAGGCGGGTTTGGAATGTCTCCAGAGTGGGAGACTCCCCCGGCGGGTTTGGGATGGCTCCAGAGGGGGAGACTCCCCCACCTCTCTGGGCAGCCTCTGCCACTGCTCTGCCGCCCTCACAGCAGAGAAGGCCCTCCTCAGGTGGAGATGGAACTGCCCATGGTCACCTTTGTGCCCGTTCCCTCTTGTCCTGTCACTGGGCACCACTGGAAACAGACTGTCCCCATCCCCCGGCACCTCCCTTGAAGGATTGATCAGCGTT